CAGGGCTCTTGCTATAGCAGTGAGTGAGTCAGACTCTCAGGGGAGGAGGAGCTGCCTCCCCACCTGCTGGTACAGGGGCCCAGGCAGCATCCTCCAGGTCTGGGCAGGTCCCACATCAGGCAGTTGGCACCACTTCCCCTTCAGGATGCTGCCAGGCAGCCTTCCCTCTGCCAGGCACCATGGCCCACGTGCCTCGCCCAATTCCTCCCGCTCACTCCCCTCCAGTATCCTTGGAGCTCCAGGTTTTCCAGGCCCTCCCTTCACCAACCCCGGGGGGCATGGTCCATGACAAACCCAAAAGCCTGGGAGTCCCTAGGGTGTAGAAAGGAGCCTTGGGGCATGGAGGGGAGGAACTCTTGTTAGCCGCAGCCCCAGAGGTACTAGCACAGTCACAGTGGACTGGGGGTGAGGGGAGCCCTGTCTTGGGCCTGGCAAATCCAACTGGACTCTGCTCTGGGGCCTCCACCCAGCCCTCGGCCTCATCTCACTGGACTGGCTGCAAAACCACCTCCAGGGCTCTAAGCCTGATCCCTGCCTCTAATTAATCCCCAGTATGTCTAACTCCTAGCAAATCACCAGCAACCATTCCCCCCGCCTCCCACCACCCCGAGCCAGCCCCTCATATTTCCCTAAAATATCTTTTCCCAAGCCTATAGGTGCCCCAGGTTCTCTCCTAGCTTACCCCTAGTATTCCTGTTTTTCCTGAGATCTTTCCAACTCCTCTGCACCCCCACCATTTCCACACCTTCCTAGTCCCCCCACCCAGCACTCCGTCATTCTCCCAGTGCTCCGATCCCAAGTATCCTTATTTCTCCCAGTCCCCCCAAAATTCCAGTTTCTCACACCTGATCTCCAATTGCACCAGGTCCTCTGCACCCCCAAAAGCTCCCTTAGTATCTCTTCCAGAATCCCCCTCCCACTTCTCCCCCTCCTCCCATCCTCTCCTCCCTGGGATTCTCCTGCCTCAGCCCACCACACACTCCGGCACCCCACCTCAACAATTTGCTTCTCCCTCGTATTCACGGACCCCTGGAACTTCTCTTTTCTTTTGGAACCCACCAAGAACTCCCCAACTTTAACTCCAGAACTCCCCTTCTGCGGGACCCACCCGCCCCCCACCCCCCCACCCCCGGCCGCGGCACATACCAAGAATTCCACTTCACAGAACTCCTCTAGTTCTGCTCGCCAAAGAATTCCACTTCTCTCCGCAACTCCCTGCTTTGTCCTGTCCCCCCATAACTCCAGCACTGTTCTCCATCGCACCCCCACTTCTATTCCCCCCAGAACGCCCCCGCCCTCACCTGCTCCGCACCGCTCAGCTCCACTCTTCCAGCTACACAATAGGGGGCGGACCCGCCTCCCCGCCTCGGATGCCCCGAGCGCCTCCCGTTACCCTGGAAACCGCCAATCCCCCTCCCGCGGCGGCCAATTGGAGCCAAGAGAAGGAGAGACAAGGCGGGCGGGACCCCTGAG